TGGTTTGCTTCTTGAGTTTGTAAGCAGAAAAAATGGGTGTATTTTTGGGGTATTTTGCGGCTTCATCTCTGAGTGCTTTTTATGATTGACGCAGATGTTCTACCATCAATTTGTTGTTAGGAAAACTTCATCCCTTTCTTCTCTCCTTATGTTGTTCTCCTTCTTCTTCTTCTTCTTCTCTTGAATTATCAGTTAAGGGTGCGGTATTTTTGGCTTTCCATAGCCCAAATTGACAAATTTTCCTCACAACAAAATCATAGTAGTTAACATCTGCCTCAGTCATAAGAAGCATTAATTTCCACTTATGTCAAGGTGCATTCTCAATTTCTCACTGAATAGACAATCAAATGAGAAGGTTTTTTGAAAACAAGGATGCAGCTGTGCTATCCAACCAAAGCTTGTGTTGGGCTCGCTTGAATGAAGGAGAGCTTGCATTAGAAATAGCTCAACTTTGCAGCTTAATGCGGCCTGAGTGGCCGAAGGCATACTGTAGGATGGGTGCAGCTCTGATGTTGCTGAAAGTAAGCTAATATCTGGAAAGTTCCCTTTGATTTTACCCTTTATCATTAAAAATGTTTTTTTAGAGTTTTAACTATACAAAAAAAAAAATAGAGTTTAAATGTTAAAATTACTAAAATATTCTTAATAAAATTCAACTTTATGTTTATTTATTAATAATATTTTAGTAATTTTAACACCCAAATTGCATTTATTTGTGCCTTCTGTCTTACAAAATATTGGATTATTATTATCTCATCCATACAATTTGGATATTTTTATAAGTTTAGTTTGAGAGAGAAAATGATGAATTTTTTAATTAATCAAATTATAATATTTAAAAATATTATATTTAAATCCTCTTTTTCTTCTATTTTTTTCAAATCAAATATATTTTTAAAAATTCAAGACAGGCATGCGAAGAAAAGATGGTTGGTAATGCTTCAGGCGAGAATTTTTTTAGAAAAACTAGGTGTGGAATAATGGATGAGAATTTAGATGCCAATGGAACACGAGAGAGTTATGCGGCTAATGTAAGCCATCACATGGTAAGGAGGGTGTGGAACAGTGATTGATGTAAATACTAGGGAGAGATCCTGATCTACAGCGCCTGAATCCAATAACCACAATATTATCTCTTACAACTAACTCTCTGAAATAGACACACCTAATGGCTCCGAAGATACCAACTATATAGAGAGATTCCACAAATAATTTTCTAAATACTAGTATAAATTACTAGATCATTCAGTAATAGAAGAAATCTCTTGAGAGTGTCTTCTAATAATTTTTTCTTTTCTCCTAAAAAATTAGAAATTCTATTTTAAAGATCATCCATATTCTAGATTTTCATTGATCCTCAATGATCTAATTCTTCTATATGCTTTTAAAATCTAAATCTTAGTATAGGACTCCTAATTCTCTTTTAAATCAGCAAATTCTTATTCTAGTTCTAGTCTAGCTATATATCTAAAAGTTCTTATTTGATTGTATATTTTTAGATCAACTAAATGCAACTCAATCATTTATGTGAAAAGATCATAAGAAGTATTTCAAGTGATTAAGAATTTTAGATTTTAAGTTAAAGATCATAAATTCAAATTTTGATATGGGTGAAAAGAGAATAAGGGAAGAGGAAAACTATCATTTATCTCTTATTATATAATTTACCACTTGATGTAACAAAAAAATTCATGTGAGAAGAAAAGATTATTGATTTGGAATTGTGCCAAGAAAAATAAAATTTTAAAATGCCAACTTCACATTTTATTTGATATGGTAATAAGATGTGAAAGTACTAAAATATCCTTAAACTTTCCCTAGTAATAAGGAAAAACTTCCCTTTCAACTAAATATGTCCAGGAAATCAACCACTAGCCTGTGTCTTACTGGGGACCCATGAGGAAAAACAACGAAAAAAATTGTGGCAGCGGTAACGAAAACCTGATAAGTGCTTTAGGCGAGAGTTGTCGAAAATTGTGGAGTGCAATAATGAATGGGATGGGCGTTAGTTGGACTCAAAGGTTATTTAACGGGCAACAGACTGCCGGAAAAAGACACAATACAACATACCTTGCATCTCACTGATAAAAAATAAAAATGAAAAAAAAAAAAAAAAAAACTAAGCTAAACTCACAAAGTTGTCTTTCGGTAATTCTGTTTTAAGAAAGAGGTTTATATTCTAAAGTTCAAACTATGTATTAAAAATATAGTTTATCTAATGAATTTAGTAAAATATTTTTAATAATAATATGAAAAATAATTTTATTAAAAATATTTTAATAAATTTATAAAATGAATTATACTTTTAATATATAATTTATTCTGTAAAACATTTTTTTCTTTTAGTAATATCTTAGATGTTGCAGAGCTTAATTTTTTTTTTTTTTTAAGGCGTGAAACAAAACCTTGATAAAGAACTGGTGTGGTTGTAAGTTAATTGAAAAGTCAATGTAGATGCAAAATTTTTAAAAAATAAATAAAGAGAGAAATTGATTTAATAACATTTGTTAATGAGTCTATATATAGTATAAACTCTATTATTTGAAAGACAGAAATGAACATAAATTAAGTAGAATAAAAGATAATTTATGACAAAATACTTCTTGAAAGGATGAAAATTTGACAATAAACAATTTAATATTTCATTCAATTAACCTTTATTTTCCCTTATCTTTTATATCATCTTCATTTTCCTCATGATCACCAAAAACAATTATCAAATAATAAAAGAAATAATAAATGACTAAAATGATATTAGTCATTTATAAAATTTAATAGACCAAACTAATTTTTCCATAAAAGTTTAAGGGCTCTGCTAGTGGTCCTCCCTCCAATAATTTAATAAACATGCCCATAACTTCAGAAAAAAAATTAATGCATGTACAAATGAAAAAAAAGGAAATCTCCAGTACAAATAATTCAGTACTTGTGGGAGAATCAGGTTAGACGGGAAAGCGGAGCCGTATTTTGTCGTAGTACCAATCATTCTTAACTCTGATTTTTATGTAAATAGAAAATTTACGTATTTAAATTATAAAATAAAAATTGTCAAATAATTTATAATATTTAAAAATATGTTTTATCTTAAAAGTTTAAATTATATAGTTTAATAATTTAATGTAATTTAAATTATAAAATAATTTTTTATATAAATAAATATTCTCGAAGTTCGAAAAATATTATAAATGGAGATGAATATTATCCGCTCAAATGCAGCAACATATATACAGTATTTGGTTTGCTTCTTCAGATTGTAAGCAGAAAAAATGGGCGCATTTTTGGGGTACTCTGCGGCGTTGTTTCCGACTGGAACGCCTAGCTTTTAATGATTGACGCAGATGTTCGCTACTATTATGGCTTTGTTGTAAGGAAAACTTCATCCCCCTTTTCTCTCCTTAAGTTGTTCTCCTTCTCCTCCTCCTTCTTTTCTTGAATTATCAGTTAAGGGTGCGGTATTTTTGCCTTTCCATAGCACAAATTAACAAATTTTCCTCACAACAAAGTCATAGTAGTCAACATCTGCCTCAGTCATAAGAAGCATTAATTTCCACTTATGTCAAGGTGCATTCTCCTTTTTTTTAGAAAAAAAAAACAAAGATAATTTCAAGGAAGGGAAAAGGAAATCCCTTGGGACATGAAAGTACAACTTAGAGAAGATAATTTTCACTTAAATAAAAATTTTAATAATTAAATCGAAATGTATGAATTATGTCGAGGTGAATTCTCCATCTCTTGTTAAATGGATCGATATATAATCAAAATGAGAAGGTTTTTTTTTTTTTTCTAAGTCAAAGATCTATTATTGTTTACAATTTACTATGAGTGCGTTTGAATTAACATTTTAAAATTAAAAATTTTAAATTATAAATAATAAAAATTATTAATTGGATTGGCTCTTCATAGCAAAAATCAAGATGTCAGGGTTTTTTTTTTTTTTCTAAGTCAAAGATCTATTATTGTTTACAATTTACTATGAGTGCGTTTGAATTAACATTTTAAAATTAAAATTTTTAAATTATAAATAATAAAAATTATTAATTGGATTGGCTCTTCATAGCAAAAATCAAGATGTCAGGTTTTTCTCTTTCTAGTTACCTCGAGCCTTGGTAGTTGTGAGGCTCTCACCGCTCTAAAAAAAATAATTATTAGTTATTAAATATTAATTATCATCTCCGTTTAATTTATTAATTCAAACATTTATTTACGAGTGCACTCTATTTTTTTTTTTTTTGGTAAGAAGAAGAATTTTTTTAATTTGTAGGTTAAGGTTATAGATTAATAGTGTAATTATTATATTTTTATTAATTATTATTAAAAATATAAAAATTAATCTTTATTTAAATAATTATTTAATTAAAATAATTCATGTAACACTAATAATAAAATTAATGATAATTTTTATATTTTTAATAATAATTAATTTAAAAATTATTATTATTATATTTTTAATCTATGTCCTTAAGTAGAGGTTAAACAAACTCCAAAAAAATTAGTGGTTGAGCAATTAAAGGATGTTAGGTTAAAATTTATAAGGCTTTTCTATTTTGTGCCTTCAAGACACATGGTAAAAATACATTTATTATTTTTTTATTATTAATACATATAATAAAATTAAAAATTGATATTAATTTATTAATTACCTAATAAAAAACATTTATGTCATAAATATTAAAATTAATACTAATTTTTTAATGTAAATTAATACATGAAAATATTTTTTTTTGAATAATTTTACAAATGATCAGATCAAAAAAAATGAATGTACTTAAATATAATTTGACATCATTAAACCTGAAAGCACAAGTGCAATACATGAAAATACATTTAAAACTCCCTTAAACCCAAATTTATATACCAAACACTAAGCTTACCCTGCATTTAATCCAGAATTTCCATTGATCGGTACACATAACTGTAATTAACGACAATCCAAAAAAATACTAGTAATAATAATACAGTAATAACTGTAATTAACGGATTAATCAGTTCTTATTCCTACTCGAAAAATGAAAAAAAAATAATAATAATAACAAACCCCGCGACACGCGAAAATGACCTCACCATGCTATTTATTTCAACACCGCCTTTTTCTTCCGATTTCCACGGCGCTCCAGCTCTCAGAACGATTCGTCTTCTTCAACGCCACAGCCATACAGGTTCTACGCTATAGTTGCTTCCCCTATTTCCTTCAAGTTTCAACATATCGCAGCCCTTCGTCTTCTACTGTGGTCAAGCTCAGAGATTGAACAGTGTCTTCTTCAATGGCGTCTTCTTCATCTCCAGGTGTTCCTTCAATCATTCCTTTCTTTTCTTTTCTTTTCTTTGTGTTTGATCTCTGCTTCCATTGGAGTTTTCTTTGCATCTGAGTTGATTTTGACTGATAATCGTCAAAATCTGAGAAAAATGAAGTTAATCGATATGAATAGATGTTTGGTTTGGTTGATGTTTGACCATATGTAGGTGAATCTGAAAGGAAACGCTTCTTTGAGGCTGCCGTCAATGGAGATCTGCCTCTTCTAAAGAGTAATGGCTGCATTTCTTTACCTGTGTGGATTTCTTTGCAGCATCTCCGCACATGACTTTGATTTTCTGTGTTTTGAAATGCTTGAGCAGACCTGGTCGATGAGTTTCTGATCCTAGGGCTAAAAATTGAGAAAATAACAGATTCCGGTGATATAACGGCTTTACATTATGCTGCAAAAAATGGACATCGCCATGCCTGCAAGTATCTTGTGGAGGAAGTAAATCTCAATATTGATGTGAAGGATGACTATGGCCGGACTCCTTTACACTATGCCTGTCTTACTAAGAATTGTGTCACTGCTGCATATCTGCTTCAGCGTGGAGCTAATCCAAATGCGAAAACCATCATGTGGAGAACTCCTTTGCATCATGCGGTAGAAGAAGGTATCTAAACTGTTGAAGAAAAATACTAATTGCTCATTTTAGTTTTATTTTCTAGTTCTAGTTTGTAATTGTTTATATTGTGTCCTGACTGATTATGAGGTGCTATTTTTCCTTTTTGATTCACATGATGGGGCTGTTTTTCACATGATTATTGCTTTTACTTTGTTTCATTGGGAATTTTATTAATGTTGAGAAAGGAGTCCTTCATAGAACAGCAAGGTTGACCAAATTCATAATAATGGAGTAACTTCGTGACTTGGAATCTTTTCTTTGAATGCTGAAGTTTGTAGAGTTGTACTGCTATATGCATGATTGAGCTGCATTTCTTTTTGTGGTTTACATTTATAGACCTGTTTTTCTTTTCTTACAATTAACTTTGGAGGATTGGGCGATTTCCAATTCACTCAGTCAGTTTCATAGGATGCAGACACTTTTTTAAATTATAGGTTACCTTTCCTCAGGTTTGGAGACCTTTATAGAGTGGCCTTTTCTCCTTCAGATCCTTCACCTATCCAAACCATTCATTACTTTTAGTTGAATGACTGGTAACTGGTTCTTTTGGCGATGATCTAAGGATGTTATATGAATTCTGGAGCTACCTGCATGATCAAGCTTCAAGTTGTGATATGGAAATTTCAGTGTTTTTCTTTCTCTTACATTTGCTGTAGTTTTTGCATTTTTAAGGTAAATTTTAACTAGTTGGTTGGATTGTTGCAGGACCTTTGAAACTTCTGAAGCTGCTTATATACAAAGGTGCTGAAATCAATGCATTGGCTGAATGTGGCACACCATTGGCACTAGCTGTTATTAAGGGTCAAAAGGATTTTGTTAAGTTTTTGTTGGATAAAGATGCTGATGTAAGATGACCTATAGTTTTACAAAATAGTTTTTTTCCAATGCCTATGTTTTAACATAGGAATAGTCTGAATTATTGTTCCTCTATGATAAAACTTCCATAAAATATACTTGATGTACTCAAGGGCAAAATAACTGCTTAGTGTAATCGGTTGCTTTGGTAATAAATTCAAATTTTACCAAAAAAATTGCTTAAAGAGTGTTTTCTTTTCTTGTTTTACTTCCTTTTTTTTATTTTCCTTATTATTTGTTTGACTAATTGCTACTTTTCACTATTTTCTAGCCTAATGCAATTTCAGATAGTTTATCATATCCATTACTGCAGTCTGTCCTTGTTCGAGACTTTGAATGTATGGAGCTGCTGCTGAAGGTATAGCCTTTTCAGATTTTTTTCTTTTTCTGTATTATTATGTCTTTAAGGCATAAGAAAGTCATAGCTGAAAATTTATGTTTGAGGAGGATATGGTCAAGTGGATGTAGTTTCCAAACATTGTGACATAGTTGCTTTGGAGTGAGAAGTCAGGTTTCAGGAAATTAAAACTAGTATTTGTGTGTGATGCATTGATGCTTGTCGTTTCTCTCAAATAGGGTCTACTTAAAGCAGTATGAACATTAACTGATAGATTTCTTGGCAAAAATACCAGCAGTTTGTAATTTTGTAAGTTATCTTCTGCTTTCTCTTATTTAGCCTAATGTATAGGCAGGAGCTGATCCAAATCTCCGTTGTACGAAAGCAATGACACCTTTATGGAATGCAGCTTATCAAGGGTGGGTAGAAGCTATTGAATGCCTGTTGCATGCTGGAGCTGATCCCAATTTCACTTGCAATGTGAGTTAACACCACCCCAGACTGATTCTCATTAGCCTTGAGTCGCTATTGTGGTTCAGTTGTCATGGTTTTTGAAAATTGAACACCTTTATGTGTCATAGGATGGAATGAAACCAATTGAAATTGCAGCATTGAAAGGTTCTCGTCAAGGAGTTAGGATTCTCTTTCCACTTACCTCTGAAATTCCAACTATTCCAGATTGGAGTGAGGATGGAATATTCAAGCATGTTTGGCGTGCTGAGGCTGAAGCTGAAGTATTGCTTGATTCCTGATCCTATATTTTTTGCCAATTTCTTATTCTATGTTTTCTAGTTCCTTTTATGTTTTGGGGGTTGTGGATGAGTGCGGGTAGGAAGGACTGTATTTGGAGCTTGTACCAAAGGAGGGTGTAAAAGTGTTTTTCCACAGTTAGCAGAGGAAAGTTACACATGCATGTTTCAAATAACCTTTCTAATGCATTAGTTAATTTGATTGCAACATCTACTTCCTATGATGGTAACAGGTAGCCTGGCTATGGTGAGACTTTGGTATTTACTGTGCTTGAAATGTGTTGCAGAAAGAACAGAAGCTGGAGGAGAATTTTTTGCTGTGGAAATCCAGGGGAACAGAAGCTTTTCACAGAAAGGATTATTTTAGGGCAATAAAGTGGTACCAAGAGGTGAAAGAACCACTGTTTTCTTGCTGATTTTCTCATTGTTTCTGGAAATTTGACTCTAGAAATTTATATCCCGTCAACTATGATACTAAAATGACTTACATCTTTGATATGATCTTGATCTTGTTTTCTTCCTAAAATAAGTTTTGGATGAGGCAAATATCTTTGAAGTTCCATCCCATACATGAGTATCATTATAGACTTCTATATTGGCTTGCTGAATTAGTGCTTCAATGAAAATTGAAGGCGTACTATTGCAAACAAGATGCAGCTGTAGTATCCAACATAAGCTTGTGTTGGGCCTGCTTGAATGAAGGGGGGCGTGCACTTGAAGCAGCTCATCGTTGCCACAGCCTAAGTCCTAAATGGCTGAAGGCATACTATAGGGAGGGTGCAGCATTCATGTTATTGAAAGTAAGCTATTTTATGGAAAGTTTTCTTTGATTTTATGCTGAGATTTCTGTCTATTGGTCTAAATTTTGTTCTAAATAATGTCAGCAATTTGATATGGCTGCTGGTGCCTTTTATAATGCTTGGAAGATGGATCCTGCTAATGAAGAAATTGAACGTGCCTTTCGGTAGTAATTCATTCCAATTTTTTTTTTTTTCCTTGTAAATGATGGTTTAGATTTAGTTAATCTGTGAATATGCATAAAATCAAAATATTTGATATTTATGAACCAAAATAGAAAAAGGTAACTCATGAGATAAACATGGATGAACCCTTCTAAGCATCTTGTTATTTCTTTCTACTTAGATGTTTTCTTCTATCTTGTTTTTTTGTTTTCTGTTTCACTTCCTGCCTAAATGTTTGATATTAACTCTTTACAGAAACGCTAATGAAGCCCTAAGAAACAGTGTGCTTTCAGAATGGTAACTTATGTCACATACATATACATCAATAAATTTTTTAAACCTCTTTTGGTCTTTTTCATGTTTAAACATCCTCTACCATCTTGATTTTCTGTTTGCTGCACCTCATCCTTCTTAAATGTTTTTATGTTAACAATTGTGCTCTTATGTCAGGGAAGCTACTGAAGCACAAAAGAACAAACTGCATTCAGAAAGGTAACTTATGGCACATAGATCAGTGAACTCTTCTAAGCCTATTGTGATTTCTTTCTTTTCTTTTGTTTTCTTTTGGTAAGCAATGGCACGGTGACCTGTTTCTAATCAAATTTCATCTGTTATCCTTATTTTATGTTTGCTATCTATATTCCTTTCCAAATGTTTTATAATCCTTGTGTTTTTTTGTGTCAGGGAAGCTATTGAAGTTGAAGCAAATACGAACGGACTGCATTCCTCCTCAGAACTTTAGAATGGCATAGCTCACGTTCTCCCCTAGTTGGTGTCACGCCGTCTCCTATCTGTTTAATTGAGTTGTATGGAAGTCTAAACTTCTATAATGTTACAGTTTCTTAGTAGGAACTTGGATTTTGATAGTAAGGCTGCAATCCTAGTAGTATTTCTAAATATAAGGACATTATGTTTTTTTTTCTGCAGTGAGTAATCTGCCTAATCATTTGTACATTTCCATAGATGCATGTTGTCATGTTACTTTTCTATACCCAAACAGAACAAATTGAAGAGCATCAGAGATGAAATAGCACAGAATCTAAGTGGCATTCCTTCTGAACATTATTTTGGGCTGCAGTCCAAGAGTTTTCTTTGTCTTTAAGGTTCTAGTTTTCTAGTTTTCAATCAGTTTTTGTACATCATAATTGGGGCACCCCTAAAAAAAACCTTGTCCTTTTAGTTTCATTGCCTAGGAAACCATTTACTGAAAAAATGTTGCCTAATATAGTATAAATATATTATAATTAATATTTTATATAAATATAATATATATATCTATCAAAGTTGTGTATAAATAAATTATTATTCTAACGAAATAATAGTTTTAATTAAAATTTTTTATTAAATGACACAAAAATTGACATATTATAAAAATTTATTCAATAAATGTTGTGTACAAATAATGGTGAAAAATAGTTTGTAAAATTGAGATATCTAATAATAAGTTACTAAAAATATGGTCTTAATACCGAACTTTAAAAAGAAGGTTCAAAATTTTTCGGTATCCAAGTTTGATTTAGCTTACGGCCAAAAGAAGAGAAGAGGTTTGGTCGAGCTCGAGGGATTAAATTAACTAAGAACGTTGAAAGGAATGAAATTGACTAATAAATAATACTTCATAAAAGGAAAGAGATTTTACCGGAGTCAGTTATTGGAAGTTAGACAAAGTCAAGTGTTATATGGAAATGAAAATTTAATGCCATTTACAGTAGAATTTAGTGTTTACCTTTAAATAGGGGGTTTTCACTCATTATTAAACCCAAAATACTATAATTATAAAATTATGTAAAATTATATAATTATAATTATAATATTATATTAAATAAATTATTATATAAATATATAATATTATCAATAAATTATAAATGAAATTAATCAATTATATAAATTTATATTATATTATAAATTTATAAGATATTAACTATCACTATATCATTTTTATTATCGAGCAGGTTAATACTTTACTTTTTTTTTTTTTGATAAGTAATGCTTTACTATTTGTACAATTCGAGTTGTAATTTTTTTTGCTCTTACAATAATATTTTACCGTAGTAATAATTAAATTAAATTAAATTAAATGTAATAAAGCGCCAACCCCGAGAAGTGTGGGAGTTAACGGAAACATTTTCATTTTAAAAAAAAAAGAAAAAAAAAACAGAAAACCGATGTGGACTACATCTTTTATCGAACTGTATTTTTTATAATTATTAATAAAGAGAGATAACACGAGAGTTCACATTGAACGAATAGCAAAAGAATAGTGCAGTCTCTGCAGGACGGACTGCACGAACTACGGACACGGCTTCCGTGCTTTCCTATTTATTCTAACAACCCCACCCTCTTCCACTATTGTTAAGCTTGCTCTGAGAACGCCATTCTTCTTCAATGGCGTCTTCATTTTCTTCGTCGAATGCAGGTCAGCTCTTTCTAACTCTTCATTTTCCTTTCTCCTTTCGTCTACGGTTAAGCTCTGCTGCAATTTCAGCTGTCAACTCTTTAGTTTTCCGGATGTGTGACGGATTTGAGACTGATAACCGCCTAAATCCGAGAAAAATGAACATAATCAGACGATTATATGCAGGTGAATTTGATATGTTCCGCTTCTTGCGTGCTGCCTGCGACGGAAACTTGCCTCTGTTTAAGAGTAATAACAGCATTTTTTTCTCCTGTGTGTTGATTTGATTTCTTTGAAACCACTTGATGTAGTACAGGATTTCCGTATTCTGAAATCCTTGAGCAGCTCTGGTGAACGAGCTTCAGAAGTTAGGGCTAAAAATTGAGGATGTACGCGATGAGATTGGTCTAACTGCTTTGCATCTTGCGGCAATGAAAGGAAGAATTGAGGTCTGCAAGTATCTTGTGGAGGAAGCAAAGGTTGGCATTGATTTGAAGGATCTGAAATATGGCAACACTCCTTTACATCTAGCAATATTGAAGGAGCAGTTTCCGACTGTTGTTTATCTGCTTGAGAATGGCGCAAATCCAGATTCCGTAGCTCACAGGTGGCAGATTAAGGAAGGTATATTTGAAAAGTTGGAAAAGATTTAAAGTTCTCTTCTCGGCTTATTAATGGCATCGTAGATAGGCAGCATTTCCATTTTTGATATACTACATTTTTTTTAGTTGAATTTTGTAAGTGTAGAGGAATGAGGTGATTTCTCTTGATATCATATCTTGCAATTTATATCGATTTTAATGAAAGGTGCCGAAGTGTATCAAACAATTGATACTGGCACACTATTGCTACTTTCAACAAGCAAGGAGCAGAAGGATTTTGTGAAGGTTTTGCTGGATGACAAAGCTAATGTAAGGAAGAGTTATATATCATTTTTTGAAGTTTTTTCTTTCCTATGTCTATTTTTTATAGTGGTTCCCCTTGTTTTTTATTTCATTATGGTGCAAATCTTTCATTGAAGATGCATTTGTGTTCAAGGGAAAAGCAAAATTAGTTTGACTGTTTCATTATCCTTTTCCCCTTATTTGCTATACTAATTGATACTTTTAACATTTTCCAGCCAAATGTGATTTCGTATGATTTAATGACACCATTGATGGTTGCTGTCGGTGTTGAATCAATTGAATGTGTTAATATACTGCTAGAGGTACAGCATTTTCCTTTTTCTTCTTATTAATAGTCTAGCTTATCTCTGTATCTTTTCTTGACGTTTGTAGCAAAGAACTTCTACTTGAAGCGGTATTATTTTTTGTTATCTTTGTGTTTTCACTTATATACCCTGATGCACAGGGAGGAGCTGATCCAAACCTCTCTGGTTCAAAAGTATTAACACCTTTAGCACTTGCTGCTTGTGGAGAAAACACAGAAATTATTAATCTCCTTTTAAAATTTGGAGCTAAACCAGATGATACTACACGTGTGAGTTGATTCAACCCAGGACTGAAAAGGTCATTAACTTCGACTGGTTATTGTGGTTCAGCTGTTTTGGCCTTTGAATAGTTAACATCCTCATGTGTACAGTCAGGGATGACACCGGTTGAAATTGCTGCATCGAATGCTTTTCATGAGGGTGTTAAGATTCTCCTTCGTGTGACTTCTCCTATTCCAACTATTTCTGACTGGAGTTATGCTGGAATACGCAAGCATGTTTGCTCCAATGAGGCAGAAGAGGAGGTTTTTATTTCATTTTACTTCTTTTTCTGTGTTTTCTTATAATTGTGAGTTGTAATCATCCTGTAGCGTAAGCCTATCTAATTCATTAGAATGGTTGACTGCAACTTGTGCTTCCTATGATGGCAATAGGTTCCCTAGTGGCAGTGATACTTTGGTCCTTACCGTGCTTGAAATATCTTGCAGAGGCAGCGGAAGTTACAGGAGCATTATTTGCCGTCGGTATCAAAAGGGAGAAGCAGCTTTCTACACGGAGGATTATTTTGCTGCAATAAAGTGGTACTCTGAGGTGCAATGGCATATGTTCAATGCTGATTTTCAATGTTTCTGCAAATTCTCTGATCAATAAATATGAATAAGAATAGTCTCTTTGCTTTCTCAATGATTATTTTCTTCCTAAAATAAAATTTTGATGGTATAATATCCTTTAGTTTTTTATTTTTTTAGCTTGTTGATTTGGTCTTTGGATGACATTTCAGGCAGCAGAAGCTGATCCACGTACTGAAGCGGATATGTTCTCCAACCGAAGCTTATGTTGGATCCGCTTGAATGAAGGAGTGCTTGCATTAAAGGATGCTGAAGTTTGCATTCAAAAAAGGCCTTGCTGGTCAGAGGGATACCATAGGAAGGGTGCGGCATTGATGTTATTGAAAGTAAGCCAATCCCTGGAAGGTTTTCTTTGATTTTATGTTTGAAATTTTCTGGTCTACTATCAGATTATGATTATAATTAATCCCAGGATTTCAAGGAAGCTGTTGATGCCTTCTCTGCTGGTTTGATGTTGAAGCCTGGAGATGAGGATCTTACAAATGGTTTGAGGTAATAATTAATTTGATTGCAAGCTTTGATCTTAGTGACACTACATTGTCTTCTCCTTTTTGTTAGTTTTCTTGTCCTTTTTCATTTTAAAATTTTTTAGGTTAATGTTTTTGTTTTGTGTTTTCATGTTTTGATGACAGGGAGCTATCAAATCCCTACAAAATAATCTGCAATAACCCAGTCAATGAAGTTTCATATAGCTTGCATGCTCTTCCAAGGTTGGCTCTGTCCTATCTCAATCTGTCAAATGGGAGATCAAAACAAGTGAACCTTTAAATACTAATTTCTTTTGGTTGGATTTTGGAAGTTGTAAGCTGGTCTAAAATTGTGGACTTTTTAGAATCTTACGTTTTAAGTTGCTGTGCTTCATACTTTGCAGTTCAACTGGAAGCTTCTTTAAAACTCATTTCGGAGTTTCTGTTTCTGAGAAATGCAATTTGCCATTTACATGTACTCCACGTTTTATCTTTTGTTCCAAGAACCAGAAGATGGCAAAAAGAACCCCGAATTCTTGCCAGCTGTATCTTCTTAATCCCCTCTCATGTCAACTTAAATGAAGCACATCAAAAATGGTTTAAGTAGGAATCAAAAGAACTGTGAAAATGAAAAAATACGCAGAGCTTTAGCTTGTTTGCATTTGAAATTTGGTCAAAAAATCAACAAAGGCGAGACATATCCCTCCATTTTCTTTGAAAGAAAAAAATGGTAATATCCTCGAAACTTTTGTGGCATTTCTTTATGAAACTTTGATCTCCTGCTCTGTTAGACTTCCATGCTCAAACTCTTTGGGCGAAAAGGTCTTACCAGCCCCTAAACTTGTTGATTGTGGAAAATTTACCCTCAAACCCTTTTTTATTGTGGATAATTGCCCCTTAAACTATTCCGTTGTGGCATATCACCCCTTGACCGTCTGCTGACATCATCATTCCATCCAAAACAAAACTGAACTTCTGTTGTGTGGACTTCATCGCTGATTTAGATCCCACTTGGCCATACTTAATCCGCTGGCATGTCAACAACAATACAATTAAAAAACTCAAAAAAGAAACCAATGATATAGCGACAATGAATATAACATCACATTAACGAATATATTTAAATAAAATAAATTAATTATATAATAATATAATATATAATATATAATATATTAAAAATTATCAAAAATCATAATTATTTGACACATATTTGACAATCTTGACAGAATTAAGATCATTCATCATGTCACCTCACATTAGAATTCGTATGAAAATTACATAATCGACGAACTCTGATCCTACCAAGTTTGTTTGTCAATTTTGACTTTTCGTTTGTTGAATATATTATATATTTAT